TAGGGAATTCTGGGAGTTGAAGTCCACACATCTTAAAGTTGCCAAGGTTGAGAAACACTGTCATAATGTAAATCAAGCAGGCAAGAAATAGTTGGTCTTAACAGTGGGGAACAAACCTATTTTGAAGGAGATCTTCCTCTGTTCCATTCCTTTCTCTTTTAGGTGAGTGGCAGTGGGTCAGTGAGTCCCCCTCTTTGCATCCTCCCTGCCAAGGTGCTGTGAGTTTCTATTCTCAGTATGGCCGCAACACCAAATTCACGGAGACACCCTTAGGGAGGCAGTTCCGGGACCTTCACAGGCACCACTTGAAGCTGCTAGAATGGCAGGGCCAGCCTCACCCTTGGCTCTCCATCAAAGGTGAGCAGACCAGGCACTACCACTTGGTGCTGCCTGCCTTCTTCTACCTCCTGGAGAGCTTGCATCGAGAAGGGAGGGAGTTTGCGGTCATCTTCCGAACCTTCGGCACAGACCTGCCTCAGGTCCTGCAGGCGGTGAGCTGCGCCCTGGAGGGGCAGCACCCCAGCTTCCCTGCCCTGGGAGGCATCTCGGTGAGTGGACGAAAAGCACATGGAGTCTCCCCTTTGCTTGACCCTGCTTGAGCGATGCTGGCTTTTTTGGCCTGCTCAGCAGATGTTTCAGCTTCCTTAGCTGAGATGCTCTAGAAGAGAGTGCAACTGTTGCTTGTTCTAAGAGGGTAGCATCTCCCTCTCTCCAATTCATTCTCTTTTTTTCAGTCTTCTCGAAATGGCTTGTTGCTTCGAGTTTGTTTGGTTTTTTTTAAATGGAGAGTGGCATAGAAATAATTTAATTGTTTCAATAGATGCATGATTGGGTTCTTTCTGCAAAGTAAGCTCCCAATAGGATTGAGAAGCTCTCTGCTGGGTTTCCTTTGTTTGAGATGATAGATCTGAAGCTATGCAAGGAGAAATCCTACCTCGCCCGCAGATAGATCCTTCCTTTTTTCTGGGAGTTGAACAGGAGAAATTAAATCCCACAGCATGATGAACAATGCTAGAGATGGGGTGCTCTGAAATCAGAAGCTATGAGGGCCTTCCATTATGTTGACTGATTGATTATGTCCCATCAGGTCAGTATTGACTCCATTATGTTAGAATGGCCAAAAGGCCACATTATCTGTTGCTGAGGGATCCTGTCCTGAAGGAAAGACGTCTGCTGTCTTCGGTGAATTTGTTTAGAAACACAGCTTTTGATTTTTCTACAAAAAGATTCTGGTCCGTAGGATTGCAGAGAAAGCCTCCGACATAAAGGTCATGGTTTGTTAAAACTTCAAGATGCAAAGAAGAACTTCTAGGAACTTCACCAGCTGGGGGATCATATATGTATGGATTGTAAAGTTTCTTGCTGCTTTCCTTGAGGCTTCGATGTCCAAGACATGGTTGACTTGCATGTATTTCTTCTCTTCATTTGCAAAAAGTGCTCTGAACTTTATAAGTCCATTTAAAAAAAGCAGATAATATATGCAATATTTTTCAAAGACCGCAGGGCACACAGATGTTATGTGGGGGCTAAGGATGGAATTATCAATCCTTTTTTCTAGTTGTTGGGGTTTTTTTTAATTGACTGATTATGTGCCCTTGAGGCAGTATTGACTCTTGGCAGCCAGATAGATAGACCTTCTTTAGGATGATCCATCCCCAACCTGGCCCTTCAGATCTTCCTATAGTGCACCCATGGCAGTTGTTATCAAGTTGATTTTTTAAAAAACTAAAATATGTGTTAACCTTGGTAATGTAGTCCTGTGGTTAAGAAGTGAAACCTGGACTGGGAGCATGCAGGTTCACGTCCCCCTTGACTATGTGGGTGATTTGGGGACTAGTCACTTTCTCTCAGCCCTGTCTCCTCACGGGGATGCAAATTTGTTTCTTTAGAAGATGTACCTAGCTGCCCAACTCGTGTAATTGCAACTCCAGGTGGCATACATCAAATAACACCCCCCCCCATTTTGCAAATAAAATAACCAAAACCAAAATTCATAAGCCAACACATGTTTTGTTTATTTTATTTTGGTCATAGACCAGCATAAAACTAGTAACATAACAGCCACTCTAAAATAGAAGTAAACATTTAAAAAATCGTGTCGATAGAATGAAATAAGGTAAAAATAAAATTATTAAAGTAACATTACAAAGTACAAGGATGCACATATTAAATAATGTATGGCTATATGTTGTGAGGATAACATAAGGGAGATCCCCATATGTACCACCTTTGAATATCAACAACATGATTTGAAGAGATGGTTCTTGAGGCAGGCAGGCAGGCAGGCAGGAGAAATAAAACAGCATGGAAGAACCCGGTATGCTGGTAGATGGAACAGTTAGTATCTTCCCCCTCCTTTTCTGTAGGATGAGCTCTTTTCCTGCATCAACAACCTTAGCCTTTGCCCGCTTAGAGAGATGATCTCTTTTCTGTTCCTTCTGATCCCTTTTCTTAAACTCCCCTCTACTTTGATCATCTCAGCCTGTTTGAGGCAGTCTAGGGTTGGTGCTTTGAATGATGTTTCTTCTGTCTCCCTCGTTATCCTTATGGCAGTTGCCTGTAGATCTGAGATCTGGAAGGATACGTTGCAGCAAGAAAAACGTGGTGTTGACTCATGGATCCGAGCAGCTCTCCAGCAACGATGGGTGCAGGAAAATGTATGCCTACTTCAGCTCCAGGGAAGGCCTCTGTGGTTTCCAGGATCATTTTGAATGGTGAGATATGTGTTTTCTTGCTCTGGGGTGGCTGACCTACTTTTATTTACAGTGATTGGCTTTTTAATAACAAATACAGATAGCCCTCGCTTACTGACTGCCTCTTTTATTGGCTATTTGAAGTTACAATGGTGCAAAAAAAACAGCTTTGCAACCAGTCCTCGCATTTACAACTGTCACAGAGTCCTGCAGTCACGTGATCACCATTTGCATGCTTGCCAACCAGCTTGTGACAAGCAGAGTTAATGGAGAACACAGAAGTAAAATCGTAAGTTATAGTGACATGTTGTTATGCCTAACAGCTGCGGTGATTTGCTTAACGACCGAATGGAAAGTGATGTTGTTAGTCCATCATGGTCACGTGTCTTTCAGCTTAGTGACCACAGTGTTTAGTGATGGTGTTGCCAATCCCAATTGTGGTTGCTAAGTGAGGACTACCTGTATGATCAGATTACAATCCAGTGAAACTTTTTAAATAGTCTTCTTGTATCACACTAAAAAAACCCACTTCTAATAGTGTATCTTTTCAATCTTGTGGAAGACATTGATATTAAAATGATTATCCTCTTATTTCCTAACTCCAATTCCCCATTTTTGCTGACATTGGTTTGCATCTTTCTTCCTTTGTAGTTACTGGATCTACCTCTGCTAAGATATCTGGAGTTATGAGTAGGGGATTTTATGCTGCTATATCCTGCTGAGTTTGGTCTAGGAAGTGGTCTTCCCAACCTGGTAGCCTCTGGATATTTTCCTTCTACTGACATTTTCTTTCTACTGACTATGCTAGTCTGCAGGGCGCTGAGCTGGGGAAATTTAGTTTAGAGCAGTGTTTCTCAACCTTGGCAACTTTAAGATGTGTGGACTTCAATTCCCAGAATTCTCCAGCCAGCATTCTAGGAGTTGAAGTCCACACATCTTAAAGTTGCCAAGGTTGAGAAACACTGGTTTAGAGAGCCTCTTTGTGAGTTAATCCTGCCCACTAGGTATATAACCCCTATTCAATCTCAAATCAAGCTATATCTCTTCAAGAGTAATTCACCTGCCTTTTGCTCCTTTATCATGTTGCCTAACTTATTTGTAGCTTTGATTTCTCATTTGGAAATGAGCTTTTGTGCTATCTGAGCCTAGCTTAGTAACAGTATGTAATGCACTATCTCTAGGACTTTCAGCATGGTATTTGTGAGCATCAATGTGTTCATTTCCAGTTTCCTTTGTGTCCACCAGGCCCCTTCTCAGGCCTAACTTTTAAAATATTTGTCTAGATTTAGAATTAATGAATAAATAAATATATGGGAAACTGGGATGTTGCAAAGTGCCAGCCTCAGTTACAATCCTGAATTCTAACAAGACCTCTCAGCCCCACACAGACGCTTTATGTATTCGTAGAAAATAATCATGTCGGATGACTGCAGTCCAACGCTTTGAAATTGTTCTTATCTGTTCAGACCAAAAGGCAACTGAAAGCTGGGGGTGCTGGCACCCCAGGGACTAGAAAGGGTGGCAAGGAGCAGCCTTGATTGTTTGCTTTCTAGTAAAGGGTGTCCGATGACTGGCCATGCCCATTGGGGGACCCATTTTGTGAGAGTACTCAATATGCTCTGAAAATGTCAAGGGTTGAATTGGTATCGTGCTCAGGGAACAATGACTGCAAAGTTGAAAGAGTTCTCGAAACTGAATCTTATGAGGAATAATTGCTCATGCTCTGTCTGGAGAAGAAAAAAATCATGTTTTGTTTCCAGGTTTCTGAAGGTTTGTCATACAAAATGTGAAATAGACTTATCTTCTGATACTTCAAAGGGCAGAAGCAATGGGTAGAAATGATAGGGAAGCAGATTTTAGCTGAACCTTTGAGGGAATTTTCTAAGATGTATTCAATAGAATGTACAGAATGTCTTCAAAGATTGTGGACTATATTTGCTAAGAGTATTTAAGCAAAGGCTGGATATCAGCGATCTTGCATCCCTTTGTAGACCCTACTTCAAGCAGCTCCTGCCCTGAACTGGGTGGACTTCCTAGGTTCCTTTGGAACCAGCCTGAGACTTCAGCTGATGCTGCTACTCCATGTTTCGGTAGCACGTAGGGTTCTCTTTTCTTGTGTGCTCTTTCCGTGAATTAGCGGGGCACAAACAACTCTGATTAGATGCACTGAGGTGTGCAGGCAAGGCTATGCATATTTCATGTATTTGCTTTCATCTCCCAAATGCGGAGTTGTTTTTTTCCCCCCAATCATATAGTATCCTGATACTTTCATTTGTTTCTGAAAACAAAAGTCCTGTTCCTTAGTCCTTATTATTTTACACAGAAACTTGGGAATTTGTCCTCATTCTTGCAGAAGGGTTCAGAAACCAGAGGGTCAGTTCCAGTGGCCAAAATTTAGACTGCATGTGCTCAGCACAACATTTCATTTTGTCCATCTTTACTGGCTGTTAACTTCCTGTCCCCTCAGTCTACTGGGCCTTATTTTCCTTTTTTTTTTTTTTTTTTTGGTAAGTAATAAAGAGATGATAATCAAATTCCTTTGAAACCCTGAATCTTGGAAACAGAATAAATTGAAGACAGGTGCCGATACTTTAATTAAAGAGGGACCGATCCTTAGGATCCTGTATGCCTTAATTCCTTGCCTCCCCTCCTTGCTGCTATTCCTTGCTCTTTTTCTCTTGAACTAGCAGGAGCAAAATAAATGTGTCCCGCAGCTGATTGCCAGAGGTTGTGTGTCTTTCTGTGCTGCAGGTGGGCAAAGAAGAATTACTCCAGCCAAGGTGGAAAGCCCATTTGGATTGATCCTCAGGACCCAAGAGTCCAGCATATCTGCATAGATGACAATATTCGACTGACTGATTCCGACACCATTGTCCATCCCCAGGTATTGTCAGGGAGAAGCATTGCTCCGATCCTTTTTTAATATAAGATTCTTTTGTGGGTAACCCACGTGTTATAATTCTGCAGTCCTCTTGACAATCCTAGCAAATCAGCTACAGAGACTATACCCATGAGGCTTCGTGCACTGAGTGGAGACTCGCAGCTGCGATTCCTCCGTCCAAACCCGCTTATTCTGTCCTGAAGCAGAAAAGCACGTCACCTTGGCTACCTTTGGAGCACCTCTGCCTCGCTCACAAAGAGAGCATTGTTCCCCTTCTAGTCTGTCCCAAAGGTGACGGGGATTGGTAGGTGAGCCACCTGTCATAACCACAGGTGATTAGCAGAGAACGGTTGGCTGGCACGGAACAGCAGGCGCTTCATGCCTGTCCTTGCCGTGCTGCTCTTTCTGTCCTCAGTGTGAGTCATTCCCATTCCCCCCCACCCCCCTCCCGAGCCCAGCAACCTGCTTCTTAGCAGCCCAAAGCGCATTCACAGTACTGTGTGCTTAAAGGGCAGCTTTCATGCTGGAGCATGGGAGTTGGGAGAGCCAGGGAAAAAGACTGGCCATCGTGGCAGCTCTTTATATTAGCCTAAAAGCTTTTGCTTAGGGAAGGGGACAGCTGGGAGAGGGCGCATGCTGGCTGAACTAGGGGAGGGAGGAAAAGCTGGGCAGGGAAGGTTAATTGGCTCTTGTTGGATTCCAGCCACCACAATGGTTCCTTGAGGCTCGGTGCCACTCATAATATAGGAAATACGGCGAGTGGTGTTTGGAGGCTGAGACTGTTTCGTTTCCTGACCATGGTCCTTCAAGCTGATCAGTAATGCTCAGGTCTTGGTGGAGGAGGCAAAGAGCCCTGTCTGGAGCTTTTTATCCTGCCACGGCCTACAGAATGGCCTGAGTCTCTTTAGCAGAACTGGGGGAGGGGGGTTGTTATTCATCCTTTCCCAGCCAGTCAGCTTCAGATCAAATTATATTTAGAAAGCAAGGGGGCAGAGATGACCCCTGGTGATCCCATGCCCTCTTTTTTCTTCCTGCTGACTCCAGGTCAGATCTTGTGGTTTCAGAGGCCAGGAAGATTTTGCCTTGATCTCTCTGATCAGACCTGGCAACTTCCCCTGAACTCCCAAGCTCAGCTCTTCCCTCTTAGCAGGTGGATCTGGGTACACTCCAAAGTGCTGTCCTTTAGCTGTAATTCAGCTCGTGAGTTTCAAAGCTGCCTTGAGAGCACGTAGTTCCTTAGATTCAAGGCAGGAGGGGAATGCCATGTGTTTTGGTGCTGCAGAAAGGAAGAGTTTTGCCCGTGCATTTTCTCTGCGGAGCCCTCTGAATAAGGCAATTGAAGGCTACTTCTCAGCCTAGAAGTGGACAGAGAGAACAATATTGTTGCTTGTATGATCCTTGAAGTCACATGCCAGTTGGGGCAGTGAGGACAGGACCATGCCATAAATGGAGAATTTGGACCAGTTCCCCTAAGTGCCTCTTCTTCAACAAGGAACCTTTGCAATGGGATTTTCTAACTAGAGAAAATGACTGGGAAGAAGAAATCTCAACTCCTCCAACATCTTCTGTTGCCAGGCATTGCAGTATCAGCCCTACATAGTCACTCCCCAGAATAGTCTGGTCTCCCAAAACTTCAACCACTCAGGCTGGAATGCTTCCCTTTCTGACTCCATGCCCACTGAAAGAAATGGTCTGTGGGAACTCCATTCCCTCAGCAGTCCCTTGCTGTCAAGAGAGGTTAGATACTGATACCCTGCATGCAAGCCCTCGTTTTTGCAACCCTCAGAGGCCCCAGTGCCATTGAGAATTCTGGTATGATTGTTCACAGTTCTTATATACATGAAAGAATGATCCCCCACCACCAAACCAAGTTGAAAGTTTCAGTCCTATCTTCTCCAGTGATGTCCCCACCATACAGCCCGTGTCCCTTTGAGGCAGTGTTTCTCAACCTTGGCCACTTGAAGATGGGTGCACTTCAACTTCCCTTTCTGACTCCATGCCCACTGAAAGAAATGGTCTGTGGGAACTCCATGCTGGCTGGGGAGTTCTGGGAGTTCAAGTCCACCCATCTTCAAGTGGCCAAGGTTGAGAAACACTGCTTTGAGCATAACAACAACAATGATGTTGCCTGCATCTGTAGCTTGAGTGGTTAGTCACTCTGGTTAGTTGCTGAAAAGGAAGTTGTGGAGGCACAAGCCATCTGGAAAGCAAGTGCTCTAGCTTGGCTAGAAGGATGTGGCCTGTCAAGTTCTAAAGAGGGAAGCCTCCAAGTGGGCTTGATTTAGTGTCTCTTTCAACAAATCAAGCAGTATTGCAAAAGGGATGGTGGGTTGGCTTGTTTGCCCTGTCCACCGGGGCCCCTCTGCTTTGTGTGTGGAAGGATTCCGACCTCTCTGAAGAACCTGTCTTTTCTTGGCCCAACAGATCTTCTTAGGGCAAGGAAGTGACTGTCCCCAGACAACTCCTACTTCGGAGCTCTATGACATCTGCCTAGTTCAAACAGACCTTCTGGAGGCCATTGCTGATGTGAACTATTTCTGCCACTGCATAAGACGCTGTGAAGAGAATTATGAAAGCTACTTGTCCAGAGCTGGGGCCTGCACCTAGTGGGGCTGGCTGAGTGGTCCCAAGCCCCTTTGTGGAACTTGCAAAGGGAGAAAAGAACTTGAAGCTCCCAGCTGGCTGTGGCTTGTATGCATACCCAATGAAGTCAGTGTTCTTGTTTTAACTTCCTGGTGAGGGCTCCATGCTGGAAGCTCCTTGACAAGGAAGCACGCTGCCTGTTTTCTCTGTTGCTGCCTGAATCAGAGCACCTAAACAGAGGGGATTGTCTTTTATTTATAATATTTATTCAGCACTTAGTGGGGAGAGTTTCTTGCCCTACAGATGAGTGAGCTCCAAGAAGCGTGTAACCAATTCACAGACTGCACTGGGCTCAGCCATAATGCAGAGGAAAAATGACTGTTCTGTTACCCAGCCTTTCCTTGCAAACATTAAAATCATCTCCAACTGTTCTTGTTGGTGCCCTGGCTGTGATGGCTTCTGACCCTGAAATATACAGCCTGTGCTAAGTAAGCCCTTGTGGGATAGGCTGTAGAGATTTAACATTTGCTTCTAGGGCAGCCAGACAGGGAGTTCAAGAAGCCACAGATTTTTGTGATTTTATTCAGTTTTCCATCGCATCACTTCCAAGATTATCAATGACCCTGCTGGATTCCCAGTATTTGATCTAACTGGGTTTTGCTCTCTGTCAGCATTGATCTGCACGCAGAAAGAATCCAGCTGTTCAGAAAGAAATGGAGGCTAATTTTACTGGCTGGAGAAAAGTGACCCAGGTTTTGCTTTGTAACCAGCCCCTTCCTGTTCCCTACTATATGGGAAAAAGGCCTTTTTTCCCTTAAAAGCAGCCCCCCACCCCCGTTTCTTCTGCCAATTCACTCTGTTGTCACTATGTGGAGAATACTTTTGCTCACAGGATCCTTCTCCCCAAAGCAGGAGGGCAGGATTTGGTTTGTTGTTTTGGATATGAGCCCAGAGTTTTAGGTGTTGCTTGAAAAAATAGCTTTAACTCCCCAGCAGTGGGAGTTAGAGGGAGTCTTTTGCTGGAGCTCAGCAAAAAGCAAGCTGTTTTTTGCAAGTCAGTTCTTGTTGTCTGTTCCTGGCCTTTTAAGTGGTACTTCGTTCTTGGAGATCACCTGGTCCAATCTAGCAGAAAGAAGGAAGACACTGAATTATGTTGTAATTTTTAAAAATCAGAAATTTTTGCAGCATCTGTAGCTCAATTTTCTATTGTCCTGCTGACAAAGTAAAATAATCTCATAGATTTGCATAGACCATGTAACCTGCACGGCAGATCCACTTTTATTGTGGAGTGTAATTTCTCTTGTCCCTTTAATTCCAGGTAGTTAGAAAGCTTTTCATGGAGAATATCTATCTATCTGGTCGCTAAGGGTCAACAAGGACTTGATGGCACATAATCAAAATCATCATCAAATCAGAAAGCTTTAGGGCAGGTTTTTTG